TAAATAACCTAAGTATTTCAAATGAGTATCTTTAACTCCTAATTTTTTAATAGAAATATCAAAAATCTATCAATAATATTAAAAATATATTAGAACAGTTTTGTTTTTTTAAAATTTTTAATAATTTAATTAATCAATTTTAATTGAATTTAACATTAATAAAATAAAAAATTTTAATTCATCTTTCAAAAAATTAATCAAATTTTTATTAAAAAAATACTTGTTTATACTAAAGAAAAAAGTCTACTTTTTTTCAAATATTATACTAAGCTGAGAAGTTCACTCAATATATATTATAAAAAAATGATCAAATTAAGTATATTATCTAAAGATTATTTGAATTAATTTTAAAAAATATTTTTAACTTTTTAAAAGGTTTTTTTTTTTTAAATTTCTTTTTAAACTTTAAAATATAATTATGAAAGAAATCAAGTATTTAGTATTATTATTATATTTTTTATGTTTTATTACTATCTGAGATACTAGCTCTTCATCTTATTAGAAATTTTATTTGATATTTTTTACCAAAAAATGCAGTCTAATGATATTAGGTTCCTTAATCACAATATAAATATTTTGAAATTTTTTGACCTAAATAATAAGAAATAGTGGTCTGAATATTAATTAGTATATAAATATTTAAATTTTTAATATGACTTAAATATAATAAATTATCAATATTAAATTATTGTTTACCGATAAATACCTTAATTATATATTAAAATATTTTCAAGTTTTTCTTTATATATTTTATTTTTCAACAAATAAAGAATTAATAATAAATATTTGAAAAAATAAGAAGCTTTTAACTAAAAGTTATTTTTAATACAAAGTAATTTTCTAATAGGTTCTAATAGTAAAGATATTAAAAATATTCAATTCTATTTCCTTTCAAAAGTATTTGTTAAATAATTGTTTTTACCAATAGTATGATTGATTAGTTCAATTTATAAAATAATTTTATTTATAAAATTTGAACAATATAAAATCACTATTTTATAATAAATCTATCTTAATAAACTTTAGCAAAATAAAAATTAAATCTTAAAATTGATTGTATAATACTATATAATGCAATTATATATTATTATAAAATATGAATATATTAAAGTTTAGAATATGAAAGAGGAATATTATTTTGAATATAAAAAAAAGATAATTCTCATATTTCAAAATTTTATAAATAGCTGAAGTTTTATATTGAAATTTTTTTCTATTTTTAAGTATTTTCAAAAAAAAGTAATAGATATGATCATATTTTTTTGATAGTATTATATATAAGATTACTTGTCTATACTTATTTTAGATTTAGCAAAATATCTAAATTATAGTTTTGATAAATTTTACTAAGGTTTTAATATAGTTTTGCATTTTTATAAACTTTTTTAGAATTTCATAGATTTTTTAATAAGTTTTTAATATAATTTCATTAAATTTTACCTTTTTCTATTTAGATAACTTGCAAACTTCTAGGTCATCTAGTAACTTTAACTATATAAAAATAAATCTAATCTCAATCTTTGATGTTTTAACATAAATTTTCAAATATGTGATACAAAAACATAAATATAAGGAGTTAAATCTGAGAAGTGATAAAGTCTTTATATTAAAATAGTATTAGTTTTAGAATCTATTACAGTTTTTTAAAAATAACTTGTACTATATCTTTACTTTTATACAAAAATATTGTGAATCTGTTTCTTTTTTTCCTATAAGATCATATAATTCAGTAAATCTATTCTAGAAACTTCTAATTAATGTAACAAATTCTAAATCAATAAACTTAATTAAGTTAAATTTTCAAAGAATATAGAGCTTATTATTTTTCATTAAAGAAGTATAATTTTAAATATTAGTATCACAAATTTTTTAAAATTCAAAGAGAATTTTTAAATTTCTATTTCTTAATTATAATTCTTCAAGTTATATCATTAAATAATCCTTCATTTTTAATTTCTTATAATACTAATTTTCACAAATAATCTATAATATGTAATATTATATATAATTTATTAAGTATATAATTATTAAGTAAAATTATATTAAAAAGTTAAGGTAAGCAATAAACAGGATATGCTGTAGAATTTTCATTTAAAATACTCATTTTTTTTACTAATTATTTATTCAATTTTTTATTTTTACGTTGATTTTTAATTATATTATATTATGGATAAAATAATTTGAGTTGCAATATTAAAACCTAAATATATAGCTAGAAATTTCAATCTGAATTAAAAAAAATTCAAAGTTTTAATAAACATTATTAATAATCATTTAAGTATTATTTAATTTTTATAATTCTTAAATAAAGTATCTGTTACTATTTTTAAAGTTGAATAACTTTCAGTTTCTGAAAATAAGATAATAATATAATGATAATTAAATTCAAAAAGTTTTGTTAAATCATCTAATAATGCAATAGTAATTATAATATATTTTACTTTTTGCCTAATATTTCTACAATTATCAGAAATTCAAAGATGAATAATTAGTACTGTAAGATCTAATTTTTTATTTGAATATATGCTAGTACTATAAATTCTAGAATTTTTTTAATACTTTGATAAATACCCTTTCCAATTACACTAACAACTTGTTTAATAATTATTGAATCAGTTATATTAGCTTTTTTTAAAGGATCTGGTATGACAGTAGTAGAGTTTTTTAAGTTAATAAAATTAATTAATATTAACTTTTTCATATATATATCAATCTCTTGATAAGTTTGAGAAACTGCATATTCACTTAGTAATTTTGCTTCTAAAGCTGCAAAGTGATGATATATATTATGTGAAACATTCTTTACATCTTGCATATGAATTATCAATTGTAATTATATTTTTTTATTAGGATTTTTTTCTCTAAATGATGAATAATATTCCTTATTTTGTATAGTAAATTCTTTAGTTTTTAAAACAACATGATCTTTGAGATTGTAAAAATTTTAAGTTGAATTTTCAAAGTTTATTTGATTTTTTTGCAAGATCTTTAGCACGTTTAATTTGAGTCGTTTTACTTGTTTCTTCATGAAGTTTTAATGCATTAGTTTATTTTTATAATTTCTATCAATGCATTTTAATTGAAGTTTAAAAAGATAAATTTCAGAAACAGCAGTTTCTTATTAGATGTTATTATTTATTAAATATATGTTTGCTAAAAATACCTGAATTTTTCAAAATATAAAATTATAAATAAGTTAAAATTATCTTATGTAACTTAACAGAAACATTAAATAAAGATTGAACTGAAACAACTTGATGTTGAAAATTATTTCCAAAATAAATCAGATAATGTAGAATTCATTTTATATAATATATACAACATTGAATAATATGATAATTACTAGTCTAACCTCAAGTAATTTAAATAATATAATTATCAGAAATAGAAAAATAATTAGGTAATATATTTGCATAACTGATAAGTAAATACCTTTTTGAATGACAATATAATTAAATTTTTGATCATTATAATATATTATTTCAGATGATGCAGGATAGTTTTCTACTTATAAGGTTTTTATTATAACATTTTTTAAGACTATTGAAAAATAACCAACATTTTACATATTTTTTTAAATTTAGTGTTTATTTAACTGATCTACAAATAGTATAACTATTGTCAATTTCAAAAATTTAGAGATTGACATATATGTGATATTTAAAATAAAGAACAAAATATAAAGTAATAACTTAAGTTTCTAATAGTGATAAAGTTTCGTTTGAACAAAGAAAAATTAAAATAAAAAAATATAAAAGTGATTAAATACGCTTTTAGTAAAATATTATTTTATAAGTTTTGAAAAATTTTTTGTTAAAAAAGACGCTGAAACTAGCAAAATTGATGAATCTGTCAAATATAACATATATGCTAAATATGTCATATCTGTCAAATAAAACGCACTTACTATTTATTATATTTCTATTATTTATATCATTATGATTATTTATATTATAATTAGCATATCTGTTAGCTCTGTTATTATTGTCAGTGGTATCATATTTATTATAGATTTTCTTTAATTGTAATTTTCTTATATAAAGGGAATGAAAATGCCTTGAAAAAAAGACAGATTCTAACAAGATCTGAATATTGTATTCAATATATATTTAATAACAATAATAAACAATCTTAACATTTTTGCAAACATAAAACTTATAATTTTATTCTTATTAATTAAATAAACTCTCTAATAAATAGCGTGTCAAGTTAATTAGATTTAAGTCATAGCTATTGCCTCCCTAATTTCAAATCATAGTTAACTTATTCGATGAAAAGAGTAACGTTAACAACGCATATCTAATCATATAAGAAAATAGCATTTGATGATCCAAAAAAGATACATAAAAAGGGGATGCATATTATTGCATAATTTGATCATATAAGAAAATAGTATGTGATCATATAAAAATAATATATTTACTCCTGAGAGAGTTGCATAGAAGATATTTGATAATATTTTTTGCCAAAGGAATAAAAACTGTACAATGTACAAATCGCGTATATATATTCATTTTTCTTTTAGCAAATGATTTTTTTTATTCTCGCTTCTTCATCGCCAGTTCAGGTTAGGAAAGTAAATATTTATTAATGTATATTGTAATATTATGAACTTTTAGCAAAATTCTACGTACGATTATGCATCACCATGAGTTTATTATGCTCGCGACCCCTTTCAATCGATGTTTGACAGCAATAGTCAGGATACCTGTTTTGATAACACGTATTTTGTTCTTATGTTTACATTGTCACCTACTCTATGATATTTGCTAACTAGTTGTTATTGAAACAAAGTTCCTAGTTAGGACACGTTAAACACAGGCTGGTTATCAAGCTAATTATCTTTTAATGTTATTTACTTATTTCTAGATCATCAAATGGATTTATACTGACAAATCAACAATTACTTTGACACTGTTAAATACTCTGAATGGAGTATCTTAGATAACTTGTATTTGATACAGAACCCTATATTAACATCTGACAACGTGGACGAAGTCATGACCATTATAAAAGATATAATTGGAACATGTCATATATCAAATTCATTATTAGCAAGTGCAAGACGGAAACTGGAACATCTCAAGTCCAAATTTGAGTCCACTTGGACGAATTCAAGTTTAATTAAATGCTCTTTTAGTTGTTGCAGAATTTAGTTATTAGTTTTAGCAGTTCAAAAAATTTTATAAAAAAATTTTATATTAGACATTTTTATAATAAATAAAACAATAGACATTGTACAATACAGTAAATATTTATGCTGCTGATATGCACCATCAAAATGTCCGAATTAGCCAAAAATTTAATCTACAAGGGGGGCGAAATACAGTAGTTTTTAATAATTTGCTGATCTTGACCTGAATATTTGGTTGATTTAGAGGCGAATATGTATTTACATTTATTAAAATTAACGAAGAAAAGACGCTTTATCTTAAATCGATTCTAGCTAAAAAAAAAAAAAAAAAAGCGTAAAAAAGGAGTATGTTATGTGTTATTTTTTTTTAAATTCACCAAGCTTTTTCACTTAATAACTGTTTAGTTTCTTCAATTAAATAGTCATTGGTCATTTAATTTCTTGTTAGTACAGTTTGTTCTGTTTAATTATTCATCAGGTCCTATTGTGTCTAGTGAAAAAGTTGAAGAGGAAACTGAATCGAAAAAGTGATTTCTATTCAATAATTTCATATAGTACAACAATCTTTTTCGATTTCAATGGTTTTATTTTTGTGAAAAGGATTTAATAAAGAGTATCTGGTATAGGATTATCAAACATTAGTGATATCATTGTTTGGGACAGGAGTGGACTTTATTTTTGGATTAGGTCGGGTTAACAAAAAGTAAATCTGACTAAATCACATGATATTCAGATCGGGTTCAGTTCAAATTTAAATCAGGTCAAATTTTTGTTTGACCGACCCGACCCGACCCGACCTGTTCGGAATTACTTGTTTTATTAATTTTAATATTTTATAATAATAATTAATAATTGTCCACAAATAAAATTTTATTTTTATTTGGTAAGTTTGTTTTGTTGCATTTGCAGGGGGGCGTTGACAACGCATGATTGCCTGCATCCAATCAGAAATTACACATAAACTAGTCCGTGTATTAAAGTTCCTTACTAGATTCTTGGAACAAAGTTTATTAGAACGAGAAGCAGGTCATTGAACAAGTTTGTGAAGGGAGTTATAATATAAAAGTTAATATTGTCTTGATTTGTGTAATGTAATAATCTAAATTTTTTTCTCCTTAATCATCTATTTAAAAAACGTTTTTTTACCCCACAATTACTCGGTGCGGTTACACTGATATATACCCATTAGCGATCCTGCAGTGCTTAGCCTGAACACGAAAATCATGATCTTTCAGGATAATTAACTTCACATGTGATCATATAATTTTATTGAATAGTTTTAATTTTATCTTTGATATCATCAAAAATTTTTAAAATTGACAAGAATTTCATTCATTTAGCTAAAATGATCACTTTGTATCACATCAGTTTTTTTTTAAAAAAAAATTTTATTGAAACCAAAAAAAAATTAAATCTACCAAAAAAAAAAAAAGATATACAACTATACAAAACAGATTCAATAAATATGTTATGAAAATAAAAAATACTTTGGATATTTCGGATATAGTTAACATAAAAAATCGAATTATTATTTTTTAAAAAAAAAAAAAAAATTATGCAGAACGATTTTAGTTTCAAAATTTGCCCTGCAAATATTAACTGAATTGAACCCTATTTAACAAGCGGCGGCAAATTGAGAGAAAGGAGCTACAAATAAAAAATTTAAAGGTTATTCAAATATTCATCTCAAAAAAGAGGTTATTAAATAAATATAACAAAATCATTACCAGAATATTCTCTGAATTCGGTATTCAATGGACTAGATGGCAAGCCATAGATTACGTTGTTAACATTTCCATCTAATAATATAAAAAAGTTTAGTGTATAAGATTCGCAAAGTTTAGTCATCGTTCTTAATATTTATACTTACGTTCATCTATTTGTGTTGGTAAATCCCAGTTTGGTTGCCACATTCCATCAACAACGAATTTGAATTCATGCTGCTTTGTACGATCAATATCAACAACAGCAACAAAATCATTGGATAAAGGATTATATTTCATTTTATGAGTGCCTAAAATAAATATAAAAAAAGGTTATTAAACTTGTGGTATTGAATCCTGCTGAAAATTCAGTCACATGATTAAAATTTACATTGCCAATTATCGAAATCGCCCGTGACGGTAACGTCGTTTCCACCATGTTTCCATTTAAACTAAAATAATAATAATACAAATGTATTAATTTATTTTTTATATTTGAAAATGATATTTCAAAAATAAAGTTACCTCAAATGGTAAAATATCCGAATGATTATTACGATTAGTACTGTGTGAAGTTCTTATTTCAAGTGGTGGACAAGCAATTTCGTGATGATTTTCAAATTCTTCTTCGGATGATTCATCTGATGATGATGACGATGATGATTCTTCTGATTTATCATCATCCATTATTTCATCGTCCTTTTGTTCAACAAAGATCTTTCTAATAGCATCATCATCAACTTTCAATTCAGATAGGGTACCCGTATGGAGAGTAGAATCGGTTTCTGCTTCTGCTTCTTGTTCCGCTTCCGCTTCGTCAATTTTTTTATGCTCGCTAATTAATTCGTTTGGGTTAATTGATCTCTCTTTTGATATGTTTGTGTCCAGGTGTTCTTCATTTGCTTTCTTAATCGGACCTTCAACTTTTGATACTCTAACCTCCTCCCCTTTAATGTAGTATAGCGTTTTTAATAATATCGCTAATACGATTTTCAAAAATAAGGTGAGGAAGATGTCTACCCAGTAGCTAGGCTTCAATATCTTTGGAATGACCATATTTGCTTTCGATACACTTCGCGCAAAAAAAAAAAATCAAAAAAAAAGCGTATTATTGAACTTTATATATAAATAAATGTATAAATGACGAACGTTAAAAGATTTTTTTTTTTTCTTTCCTTTTTAAAAAAGAAAGAAAGAAAGAAAGAAAGGAAGAAATGGACAATGAAAAGTTTTTTAAAGGATTTTTTTTTTTTTTTTTGTAAGAAATGTTTATTAAGAGATAAGGGGGGGAAAAAAAAAAGAGTTGGGTCCTTTCATTGTATCTTATATATGAAAAAATTTAAATAAAGTTTAAAATAAAGTAAAATAAAATCCCAATCCGAGAATTCCGAGAATTTTTTTTTTTTTTTTTTTTGGTGTAAAGTTCCCTCCTATTTTATCGTGATATCACAACTTCACTATATATATACTGATCAACTTCACAAACCACAAATACTTGTATTAATTAGTATGGCTATTCATATTCACGCAGTTATATCAATTATCATCTATTTTATTTTATCAAAGAATAAAATAAATATCAATCAATTAGATCAATTGATAATAAAATAATGTCATTAAAGTAATACATTAAATGATAGGTTGTAAGGTAAGGTTTGTTTAACACTCAACACCTAAATTTTTTCAAACAGGAAATAATAACGCAAGCCTAGATTCCATAATAGGCTATTACTTTAGGATTGATTCTTTTGAAGATTTTATTCAGTTAGGATTCAAGAAACTATAATTTATTTAATGCATTTCTATCCCGATTGTGATCGATATCTTAATATCACCACGCCATTTTTCCTTGTGGAAGATTACATAAATTTTATCGTGGAAAACCTGATTTTTTTTTTTTGTTAGTCCTTTAGACTTTTCCAATTATGAGTAAAGTGTCCTGTACTTAATTTTCTCATTTCCTCAAGTTTAGTTATTGGTAGAGCTCGCATCGCCTCCCGGTTCCCCAATGCTTGACGTGGTTACTAATTGACCTTCAATTGTTCCTAAAAAAAAATAAATACATCTCACAGCCTTCTAATATATTAAATATCACACCATCAAATAAAAATATTCTTTCTTGACAAACCTTTATGGACAAATTCCATAGTCATGGCAATTTCTCTCATATCTTTCTCTATTACTTCTGCCCAGTTTTGAACATCACCCAATTCCTTTGTTTGGAAAAGATTACGTTATTTTAGAATCAAACAAAATTCCAGTAATACAAGATATACAGAACAACACCTTTAAAGCCGAATTAAATCCTTCCAACATGTTTAACCATTGTTTTGTTTGTTTAGTATATTTTGCCGATTGGGAGGATAACCGCCTTGCTTCAGACTCAATTTCACGTTGAGTTTTAAATACAGCCGAAACTCTTAAAAAAAAAAAATGTCTGATAAATCTTAAACAAATAAGGAAAAAAGGCGAAACCTTTATGTGATAATCTTTGGATACTTTTTCAAACACTTATTTAGTCATGATTTGTTTGTCCAAAGAATGTATACCTTTCGTTTAAAGTATCGGCTAAAGAATCGGTCACCTCATTTACGGCCTGTATAGCCTCTTTCCGAAGTTGTTCTATGTGAAGAAAAAATAACTTTAAGCATAAAAATGTGGCGTGACAAGTCATGAAAGGAATAAGCAAAATACCAGTATTACGCCTCACAACTTGTTGTTTTTGACTATGCTCTCGCACGAGTCGAGATAGCATTTTCGCCGGTTCAAAGGAGGAATTTTGATGTTAGAATTGGGCAATTTTTAATATAACTATTTCTAAGCCACCGAGACCATTGTTACGCAAATCTAACGAATTTTAATGCAAAGTTCCAAAATTGGTATCGAAATTAAAGCGCGCTGCGGTAATAAAATATTGGGGTTTATTTTCTTTATAAAACATTTTTGAAAGTATGAAATTTTTTTTCGAAAACACGTTATTTGCGTTCTTAATATTATATTTTCGGTTTATTAAACCAATTAAGGCAAATATTGAAAAGGAAGTTTTTACTTCTAATGCTGTGAAGATTTCTGAAACCCTTTTCAAAGAAATTTCCGAATGGGGTGAACAAGGGGGTTTACTGGTGTGTTATTTAGCAAATGAATTCGACCTGTAGACTTGTATTTAAAAATTAAATAAAAAGAAAAGTAATATTTTCTCTTAAATTTAAAGACTTTAACTCCTCCATACACTATCAAGCGTTATGATCGGATAGTACCTTTCAAACATGTTGACGAACTTTCTCAAGACAAGACAGGAGAAAAGGAAAAATGGTACATTCTTGATGATTTAGAAGAAGGAAAAACTTATGAAACAAGAGTGTCATATGCAGCAACGGTGAGTTAATTTGAAATGATTTCATTGTGTAATTCTCAAGTGAAAAGTTATTGATAAGGTATCGATATAAAAGTCGCCAACAACCTTTATGTTGGAAATAATGGGTTTCGAAGAAGCAGCAAATATTTTTGAAAAACGGAGATCGTTGGAAATTCCTCAATCGGTAAAGAATTATTATAAATATATGAATCATTAATAATTGCCATTAATTAATTGATTATGATTTATTAAAATTTTTAATATAAGAATTCTCAACCAATTATGACTACAACAAAAAAATTGCTTCGTGTAAGGGCTATATATGATGGAGTGTCAATCATTCCCGGGAGAGAATCTCGTCCAATTATATATAACATCGGTAAAATTGATCTTTTAACCTCGTGTGCTTGTTTTTGAACATGAAAAAAAAGTTATGCTGAATTTTTTTAAATTTATTTAGTTTTGGAGACTTTAACTTATGGAGTTCCACGCGTAGCATTTAAATTAGTTCTAAGCTTGGCGTTAATTTTGGGAATTGGATATTATATATGTGTTCCAATGTTTTATTCATCTTTGCAAAAATTGATAAAAATTGCAGAGAAAGATAAGATAGATAGAGATTTGAATAGAGATTTGAATAGAGATAAAACACGAATAGAATGATATTTGCTTTTTAGAAAGATGTTTCGCGATCACTTAATGATAAAAAGAAGGTTCGGATGATATAATGTTGAAGTTTGTAAGTGATTCTTAATCAATTTAATCATATCATCAGACGTTTTTCAATAAATACCTGTTTCATTGGAGTTCTTTTTTTTCCATATCGTGACCCTTGTAAAGTTCATATTTCCTGAGAACAAATCTCTCGTGAATTATTATTTCCACCAGTAGATAGTTGAATGTAATTTACCTACTTACTTTTCTTTGGTTAACAGGATTGTTGCCATTGGCTTAAGGTTGGTTAAGACAGTGGCAGGTCACTGCTATATTTTCTAATTAGTTTACTTTGGCTATCAAAGCGCTTTTTTATGTGTTTGCAGGATTTTTTCAAAGGCATTAAGTGATATCATTAATTTTGATAGGATTTTCACTTATATATTTATATTCCTTAATCTTACCAAAATGTTAATTTAGGAATTTTTTAATTATATATTTTCATCATAAACATCTCTACTGCTCACATTAAACCTTAGAAAGTTAATAAAAAAACTGGAAGGAGTGACGCGGGGTGACAAATTATTTAACTATAAATCACGTGATACCACCAGTGGTGGTACGCAGTGTGTAAAATCTAAACCAAAAATCATGTGCTAAATGTGCACATTTTTATGACATCATATGTGCACAAAGTAAT